TGAGATGACCATGCTCACTGCCTCCTGCACTTCAAAAGTAATAAGAACTCCCCGAAAGTAAGGCCAAGTGCTTATTTCAAGGGTCAAAAAAAAAATAAGACTATCTTATTTTCAGGGAAACACAGTATTTGGCAACGAAGAAGCTGTCCCAGAGAAGTTACAATTGCTCTTTTGGACTGACTGACTAGAATTAAGGCTGTGTAACGAAGGGTGTGCAATGAAGAGCAACCCAATTTAATTGCAAAGAATAAGCTTCGATGAGGTAACTTCTTTAACTGGTTTCACACCAGAGTCAACTGACACCTTTATTGGGTCCTAAGGGTTGTTGTTTAACTAGGTTGTCTGCTTGGGCATGGGTTTCAATAAAGGTGGAGTGTCTTTCTGTATGCTTTTGTGCAAAACTTCAAAGTCTGTTTTGCACGGATACCGATTATTTTTAATGAAGACTAATTGCTTGAACATTAAAAGGTCAGTCTTTGCTGTGAGCAAACATTGTTTTGCCATGAATTCAGCTGAGCCATTCTATGACTGGATCTTATCTTCTTATTTTTATTAGAAGAAAGTGGAGAACTAGTGAAATGGACTGAAGAATGATGGGGAAGGGGTAGTGTAGAATCAGAGCAGTCAATTAATTCATCTCTAAGAAAAACAAGAAAGCTCAAATAATTGCTCTTTTTTAGTTCTGTTTTAAAGTCCCATTCAAGAACCTCAGTTTTTAGAAATGGAAAATGAAGTTAGTTTACTGTTTCTTATTGTAGAAAAAGTTCATTAATGTTTAGCTGTTGACTGCTGTCAGCCACTCTTCTTCTACTTCTTTTTTCACAGTCTTCCGAATGAGAAATAAGTATAATTATTTTAAATTTTGGTATATAACTTGAGCTTGATGTTAACAGAAAGGATTTACAAAGAGAGTATGAAGCTACCAGGCTTATCTCACTATTACATAATGTCATAAAACATGCAGAGAGAAAAAGGAGAAATCCTGCCTAATAGTAATAAATGCAGTGTAGTATACTAATGTACTTTTGGAAAAGCAGCATCCATTATGGAAGCCATGTGCTACTATTAATTCACAAAATTCTAATTGTGAAAGTCTGAGAAACAGTTTTTTAAGAGCTTTGTTAGCCTCAGTTAAAAGTTGCGCTTGTCTAATAACAAATTAAGAACTATTAAATGGAATAAAAGTTTACAAGTTAGGGTGTGAATGAAAGTGGCATTACTCATACATACCCGTAAAATTGACTGTACTGTCTGCATAGGGTAAGTGAGGGTAGTGGCAATTGCTTTGGCTATTGCTCCAATAGCGAAAACGTCCAGTGAAGACAGCTAAAACAATATGAAAACAAATTAGTATCTGTATGCAAAAACAAAATTAAGAATCTTCAAATCCATCCTAATCCAAAACCAAAATTGTAACGATTGAATGGAACAATTTCTAAGATCAAAGTTAAGTAAATATCATCTTTCTTGTAAGCCTTGGAATCTTACCTGCAGTTGTCTTTTTAAAATTTTTCTCTTAAGCCCTTCATAAAACATGAATTGTATGGCAGGGTTAAATACTAAGAGCAGTGAGGGAAAAGTACCATTCCACAAAGCCAAGATTCCTTCCTCTCGAATTATCTGATGAAAGGCATCTGATTAGAAAAATAAGTAAGGGAAATAAGAATCTTACAGAGGATGCAGAATTATACATTTGATCAGTCTGCCAGGTTAGCATTATTCATAGAGTTTTACATTTATTTTGCATCTAAATTTACATTTATTTATTGAGAATTCAAAGAATTTTGTATGGGCTCATTGTAGCTAATTTTATTGTTCAGTATTTATCATGAACAATTGTTAGTAAGCTGGAATAATCAAATTCAAGGTGACAGGGAGGGAGGGAGGGGTTCTTAAAACTGGACAGACAAAATTACAGCACACAAAAGTTGTCTTATGAATCAATTCAATTTTTTCCTGTAATTGTGGCATGATTCAAAGATTTATTTATAATGTTTCTATGGCGCACTACTCCAAGCCATGTTAATTTTTCTTTCAGAAATGCAAGGCTAATCAAATAAGTACCATTTAGTTAAGGCAGACTAACCCTTATGCCTTTCAAATTAAGTTTAAAGAAGTTTGGCATGCAGAAAATTACTGTTTGATTTACTTGCTTCTGTCATTGATTGATTAATTAGCTGATTGCAAAGTAACACTTCTGATACCATGTCATCTGTGTTTAATATAAATTAAATGTGTCTATAGTTACTCCTAAATCTCCCCAGAGAACTATGGGCCTCATTTGCATACTATTTTTTTTGCTTTTTAACCCTTGCGTAACTGTTAAAAGGCGAAAAATTCCTTAGGCAAAGGAGGCCCATAGTTCTCTGGCCTCCCCCTACAGTTAGCACTAAGCAGACTCCAAGTCACTGTGACTTGGACTCTGGTAGCAACTAGCTTGGCTTTAATTATTTAAAAAAAATCTTTAAAATTCTTTCTTTTTCTTCAGGAAACTGGTGAGGCCCCACCTCCCCTGCCTCTAGTGAATGCACGTCCCTGCATCACATCCAGCTGCCTCTCTGCTCAACTTTTAAAGTCAACAATTGCTGTGCTGGCTAGGAAGAGGACTTAAAAGAACAGGACAACAGCAGCACAGGTGCTGGCCTTTTTGTAGTCAGCTGTCCTGCCACATACCTCACCCTGTTTAATAAATTTTATTAAAATATTTTTGATATTTTTTTTTCCATTTCTGTGCACTTTGCACTCATTAGAAGTCACTGATGACATTTTGTTATTCTGCCCACTGAAGCAATACAGTGGTTACGATGTCAGACACCACCCTCTTAATCGGGACTTGGAATCCTTTATCTGCTACAACCATGTGAGTGGTTGGTGGTCAGTTATCACAGTGATTTCACAACCCCAGAGATACACACAAAGAGCACTGATTACTCATATCCATCCCTAGGCTTCCTTTTCAATGGTGCCATATTTTTGTTCCCTTGGAAGGAATTTCTTTGACAAGTAGATCATAGGATGGTTCATCCCTTTATGGTTTTGAATAAGCACTTCACCTAAGCCTACATTAGATGCCTCTATCTATACAACACCTGGTTAGGAGAAATCTGGCCCTTTTAATACTGACTTCCTACATAATGCATTTTCAAAAATGTCTCCTGCCATTCCTTAGATCACTGTACTCTCGAAGGTTCTGTTTTTCTCATTAGGTCTCTTAGAGCAGCGGTTCTCAACCTGTAGGTCGGGACCCCTTTGGGGGTCGAATGACCCTTTCACAGGGGTCACCTAAGACCATCGGAAAACATATATTTTCAATGGTCTTAGGAACCGAGACACCAATTTTATGGTTGGGGGTCACCACAACATGTGGAACTGTATTAAAAGGTCACGGCATTGGGAAGGTTGAGAACCACTGTCTTAGAGGGATAAACCTTTGGTAATATTCCCCCAAACCCAGAAAAGAACAAACATCTTTGTTTTTGGGGCTTCTATCTGTTTCCACCTTTCTCTATTCAGATTTCATCTCCCCCTTACCTACCATAAAGCCCAAGTATTGGGTTTCCTGATATCTTAGATGGTACTTTTTCTGGGTTTATGGTTAAGCCAGCTTTCTGTAGACAATCAATTATTTGCCTTGTGTGTTTAAGGTGTTCTTCCTAGGTCTTGCTGTAGATGAGGATATCATCTAAATAGGCAACACACTATTCCTTTTGACCTGGTAAGAATTTATTCATTAATTTCAGGAAGGTAGCAGGTGCCCCATGTAGACCAAATGGAATTTTTTAAAACTGAAAGTATCCTTGTGGAGTGGCACACACTCTGTTTTCTCTTTGGAGTGGTGCTCCAATGGAATTTGCCAATATCCTTTGGTTAAATCCAAAGATGCTAAATATTTGGCTCCACTTAGACCAGTGTTTCTCAACCGTGGCCACTTGAAGATGCCTGGACTTCAACTCCCAGAATTCCCAAGCCAGCATTTGCTGGCTGGGGAATTCTGGGAGTTGATGTTCTGACATCTTCAAGTGACCAACGTTGAGAAACACTGACCTAGACCATCCAAGAGCTCTCTAGGCATTGGGTACCCATCAAACTTATTTGCCTGAAATCTGCACAAAACCATACATCCCCATTTGGCTTTGAGACCAATACAACTGGAGAACACCAATCACTTTCAGATGGTTCTGTTGTGTCTATCTGGAGCATCTTTTCTATTTCATTTTGTTAACACATCTTTCAACCACTCAAGAATTCTATAGGGAGATCTAATTGATCAGGTTCCGCCCTTTTCTATTTTGTGTTCAACTAAGATATTATGCTCAATTGTATGGTAAATGTATATTTCCAGTTTCCTAATATTTTTATCTCTTTGTTTTAACTATCCCCTAGGTCTGAATTGATAAGTATTTTTCCATAATATGGATGAAGTATTGCACCCCAAGATTGATCCAATAATTCTGGATATCTTTCCTTTAGTGCCAGCAAACCATCCCAGGTTCAGCTCTATTGTGCTATTTCCTTAGTAGGTTGGCACTTCCTTTTTTTTGTCTCCCAATTCAATTTCATAATTTATTGGTTCAGTTCACCTCATCATTATGTAAGGCCCCTGCCATTTAGCCTGTAGTTTGTTTCCTTTACTAAGCAACAGTAACTGGGCTTGATCTGCTATGTTAAATTGCTTCACCTTTAAACTTCTATTATCATGCCTTTTCTGACGTTCACTGGTTTCTAAATATTCCTTAGCAATGTGTCCTAGGGATTTTAAATTATTCCTCTCAAATAAGATATATTCAATTAGGTCTTTAAAGCCTTCTAGTTTTTTGCACCGATTTTCCTTAATGGTGTCTTGAACCCCGAAAGTTGACTTTTAGACTGTAACCCAAAAGGGCTAAATCCCGTAAACGTCTGGGGAATTTCAGATAGAAACAGCATCTATGTATCCAAATGTTTTGTGTCTTGGCCTGCTTATTTTTTGAGAATAGATTTTAGGGTCTGCTTCATCCTTTCTGTAAGACCGTCCTAAGGACTGGTACATATCTCTTTTATTCCCAGATGTGTATATAAATATTTCAGCAGTAGTTTGGAAATTGGTTCTTTGATCTGTAAGGATCTCCTTTGGTATGCCCAGTCTACTGAAGATTTCGACCAGCTCCTCTGCTATTCTTTCGGTGGTCACTTTCCTTAATGGAACTGCTTCGGGATACCAAGTGGCATAGTCGCAGGCAACTAGGATATACTCGTTGCCTTTACTAGATCATGGCAAAAGGCCTACAACCATGATGGCGAACCTATGGCATGTGTGCCATAGGTGGCACACAGAGCCCTCTCTATGGACATGCGCGCCATCGCAGCTGCTCTTCTGGTTTCCAGCATGCATATGTGCGCCAACCAGCTGATCTTCACGGGGACATGAAAACTCCCTGGCTGTTTTCAAGTTGTTTTCTCACCATTTTCAAGCCATTTTGGGGGGCTTTTTTTACCTCAAAACAGCCCAAAAACAGCCTGAAAACAGCCAAAAAACAGGCATGTGTGCGCTGGCCAGCTGGTCTTCAAATTTCCAATGTTCCAGCACGTGCACCTGCAGTTTAGGCACTTGGTGGCGAAAAGGTTCGCCATCACTGACCTACAACATCCACGATTATTTTAGAAAAGGGAATAAGAATTAAATTTACTCTTTCAATAGGAACTTTATTGTGTTTCCCTTTTGGTTTTACCAATTGACATACGGGGCAGGATCTACAGTACTGGGCCATTTCTCCACAGATCCCTGACTAATAGAATCTATCCAAAATACTTAACCCTACCCATGTATACAGACCATGGAGTTTCTTGAGCTAATTCCAATATTACTTTGCGATATCCCAAAGGAACTACAAATCTGTTCAATTTGTTCCTTTGTTAGGGATGAAGCCTTATTCTGTACAGCAACCCATTTTTTCTTGAAATACTGGGTGTTGATTCCTTATTTAACTCCTTTTCTGCTGCTAATCAATGTTTTGATCTTGGGTTTTTTTTTGCTAGGGAAGTGAGATTGCTTGGCAGAAGGGAATCTCAGCTTGGAGGGAATCTCAGCTCCGAGTTTAAGGATTTTGTTTTTTAGTGTAGCTTAGTATTTTGCTTATATTGTACATTTTTCTCAAATTAAATAAAAATAAAAATAGAAATCAGCCTGGAATTTTCTTCTCCATATAGTTGATATGAGTTACGGCTATATGCCTTAATTCACTTTGTAAAAATAACATTGAAAGTTAAAGATAACTGGTAGCTTGTTTTTTTACAAAATGAATAGACAGAGTAATGGTTAAATAATCCACCTCATCTTTCAGATTGTAAAGATATGAAAAAAAGTCTGTCTCATTGTTGCTAGAATAAAAAGGAAGTATATAAATGGCATACTGTATGTTAATAAAACCAATAACAAAGCTGACATTTCTGGAGAATATAGCTCATGTGCGGGAGAACATGAAATATATTGCATTCTAGTATCAGTTCTTTTTTCATGCAATTGGTAGGATATTGAGAGCATAGCAGCTTTTTCAAGTCTACAAAAAGCACAGGGTATTTGTTGTGCAAGGAAAACTATGCCAAAATGCTGTCTCAAGAGTGGTGAAGGTATGTGTTGGTATACTGAGTTTGAAAAAGCATAATTTAAATACCTTACAATAGACAAGGGCAACCACACACACACACACCAGCAACCTACCTACAATGCCTTTGTAATTGGTTGGTATAATATCTTCATTTCTAAATTTTGCCCCCTGGAGTTTAAGACGGGTATTTACCACCCAGAGCGGAGTAGTCAACAGTACATTCACTACACCTAAGGAAACAGAAGCAAAATTCAGTAAAAAGAGGCCTCATAAAATTAAAATCAAAATTAAAATGTTAAGTTTAATGTATAAAGCAGAAGAAGTACCATTTGAAATACTTCGCAAAATCTAGACTGAAATTATTCTGGGGGAAAAAATATTTAAAATGGAAAGTCAAGGGAGCTTGTCACAAAGGTGCTTTTTAAAAAGGGAAACTGGACTTTCTTGATTTTTTTCCTTGAAAATGCTTCTCATCCAAGAACCTTCTTTAGTTCATAGACATCCAACAGAGCTTCCTTTATTTTGATTCTTTACCAATTATTACACATTTCATTGAGCAATGCAAGAAAAGCAAGCTTGCTTTTCACAATAGGTACACACCTAATTATTTCCAAATATTTTTCCCAACTTGACGCAAACTTCCCACATTATTCTTCATTATGAAATAATGCATTGAGAAAATCAGAAGTGCTAAACTGTTAAATAAAATTTAAATTAAAGATTCAAAAGGCATCCCTCAGATGTGGCACATAAAATGAGAGTAGCACAAGTAAGAATAAATAATAAACCAAAATAAGATACAGATCAAGAAATATGTAGCAGTGCTGGCAGCCATAGAAAGACACACATTATATCTCTGCTCTGTATTGGTGGCTGGTTTATTTCCAGGTTTAATTCCAGATGTTGGTTTTAACATGGGACCAGGTTATTTGAGAGACTATCTCTCCCCAGTTACAGGTGAAACTCGAAAAATTAGAATATCATGCAAAAGTTCACTTATTTCAGTAATGCAATTTAAAAGGTGAAACTAATATATAAGATACTCATTACATGCAAAGCAAGATAGTTCAAGCCGTGATTTGTCATAATTACCATGATTATGGTTTACAGTTTATGAAAATCCCAAATCCACAATCTCAGAAAATTAGAATATTGTGAAAAGGTGCAATATTCTAGGCTCAAAGTGCTCCACTCTAATCAGCTAATTAAGCCATAACACCTGCAAAGGGTTCCTGAGCCTTTAAATGGTCTCTCAGTCTGGTTCAGTAGGAATCACAATCATGGGAAAGACTGCTGACCTGACAGTTGTGCAGAAAACCATCACTGACACGCTCCATAAGGAGGGAAAGCCTCAAAAGGTAATTGCAAAAGAAGTTGGATGTTCCCAACGTGCTGTATCAAAGAAAGTTATGTGGAAGGGAAAACTGTGGAAGAAAAGGGTGCACAAGCAGCAGGGATGAGTGCAGCCTGGAGAGGATTGTCAGGAAAAGGCCATTCAAAAGTGTTGGGGACTTTCACAAGGAGTGGACTGAGGCTGGAGTCAGTGCATCAAGAGCCACCACACACAGACGGATCCTGGACATGGGCTTCAAGTGTCGTATTCCTCTTGTCAAGCCGCTCCTGAACAACAAACAACGTCAGAAGCATCTTACCTGGGTAAAGAAAAACAGACCTGGTCTGTTGCTCAGTGGTCCAAAGTCCTCTTTTCTGATGAGAGCAACTTTTGCATCTCATTTGGAAACCAAGGACCCAGAGTATGGAGGAAGAATGGAGAGGCACACACTGCAAGATGCCTGAAGTCCAGTGTGAAGTTTCCATAGTCTGTGTTGATTTGGGGAGCCATGTCATCTGCTGGTGTTAGTCCACTATGCTTCATAAAGTCCAGGGTCAACACAGCCATCTGCCAAGAGATTTTGGAGCACTTCATGCTTCCTTCTGCAGATGAGCTTTATGGGGATGCTGACTTCATTTTCCAGCAGGACTTGGCACCTGCCTACACTGCCAAAACCTGGTTCAATGACCGTGGGATTACTGTGCTTGATTGGCCAGCAAACTCGCCTGATCTGAACCCCATAGAGAATCTATGGGGCATTGCCAAGAGAAAGATGAGAGACATGAGACCGAACAATGCAGAAGAGCTGAATGCCGCTATTGAAGCATCCTGGTCTTCCATAACACTTCAGCAGTGCCACAGGCTGATAGCTTCCATACCATGCCGCACTGAGGCAGTAATTGCTGCAAAAGGGGCCCAAACCAAGTACTGAGTATATGTGCATGCTTATACTTTTCAGAGGTCCGATATTGTTCTATGTACAATCCTTGTTTTATTGATGTAATATTCTAATTTTCTGAGATGGTAGATTTGGGGTTTTCATGAGCTGTATGCCATATCATCACAATTATGACAAATCATGGTTTTAACTATCTTGCTTTGCATGTAATGAGTCTATCTCATATATTAGTTTCACCTTTTAAGTTACATTACTGAAATAAATGAACTTTTGCACGATATTTTAATTTTTCGAGTTTCACCTGTATATCTTACGTGTCCTATCACGTCTGGCAGGAAAGGTGTGTTACAGGTTCCTTCTGCTAAAAATTTCCATTTGACATGAACCCAAAGACACGCCATCCTTGGTGACATCATTCCTGCTACTTGAAAGGGAATAAAAAGGAGTTCCTCCAGCAGGCTGTCAATCCCATGAAAGTAGTAAGTTTATGAGATTGTTACACTGTGTGTAGGATGCTGATCCATCCTCTGCTGTCTTATTTATATTTGTGTTTGTTTTCAATTGTTGCTTTAGATGGTTTTGACGGTTTGCTTCATTGTATACTCCTCAGAATCATATTTGTGAAATGGGTAGCTATGCACAAACACCAAATTTGTCAAATATTTAAGATTTTTGATTTTTGCTTTGGAAAACATCTGATGTTAAATTCATAATATGCATTTTCAGTTTCTGTTATATACAGTTATATTTACTACTCACACTACATTAAAACATTTCAAAGAAATTATGAATTTCATTGCTATTATCAAATGAATAACTTTCCAAAGATATGAGAATACACATCAACTTAGCCCATGCTCATGTTCAAAAATAAGATAATGAAATGAAGAGAAACATTGTTATACAAAAGTGAAAAATCTAAAACAAGTAAAACTAGAAAAGAGGAAATGAGACAAACCCTTTCAAATTAAAAATACATTTATCGCTTCATTATTTTAAATTGCCTTCATGATAAATTAATCTACATCCCAAAATCAATACATTGCTGATAGGATTTTATTACCTGCAACCACACCAAGAATCAAGTCCTTTCCTGTAGTTGAATGATGACCTTTAGCCCAAAGAGTTTTTAAACTATTAAATGTATAGAAATAGACGAAGTTGGAACAACAAAGGCTGGAGATAACAGGGAACCACCCTCGATATGGTGCAATGCTAAGGAACAAAATAACAACAGCAAAAAATGAAAATAATGCAACCATCATAGCAAAAAAGCATATCTGCACCCGATTCCAAACATAATCAATTAAATATATCTACTAACTAAAGGATTTTGGGCTAAGTGTTCAAGAAACCAAGTGACAAAACAAAACATATTTAAATATGGTACTTATTAACTATATTTAACAGAATACAATTCTATACTCAGGACTAAATTAACTGAACATGTTTATGTCTGAATAACTATGAAAATAACCCAAGAGGATATACCCTATTCCCCAGAAAATAAGCCCAATTGGGCTTTTGAGTCCATGCGCTAAAATAAGCCCTTCCCTGAAAATAAGCCCCCCCTTGAAAATATTGCAACACAGCAGCAGCCATGAGGTGCACCTCAAAAATAATAAGACCTCCCTGAACATAAGGCCAAGTGCAATTTTGGGGGTCAAAAGAAAATAAGACCTGTTCTTATTTTTTGGGAAATACAGTATTATTGGAAAAATCAAAAGGAATACAATCTGATCTGAATACAAGAAACATCCAATTCAAGCACATTGTTTCTTGTTCAAGTATTTCCTTTCAGAGATAGTAGTATTTTATGGAGGCACATTTTAAAAATTAACATACTGTAATTATATAGTTAACAATATTCCATTCATACTAAAGACATCACAAATGGTTTTATGTGACAGAAGCTTTAACTACATAGAGGCCAATTTATTCAGGCAAGATTTGAGCCAATGTAATTCCTGCCTAGAAATTGTTCTTGAAGAAGAAACAATATTGCAGCAAGTCTCTTAGTCTCTTACCCGACTTTTAATTTTTTAAATAGTGTTTTGAATTACAAAGAAAAATGCAGTCATCATCATCTTTCTAAAATATGGTTTAGTCTAATGGCTCTGTTTAAAGTATAACTATTCAAATTACTTAATTGAAATTTAGGAAGATGTGTTATACACATTGTTCTCCACAGAAATTTTTAAAAACTAATTCTCCTAGCAAAATAGCCCTGTACTTACATGCCTTCTTCTTTAATTATCTCCAAAAGAACTGCATGTGTGGTTTTTGATTTGCGTTTTTCATCAACTGGAAAACAAGAAATATTTTTTAACAGTTATTCATTATAGTTGAGATCATCTTCTAATATTTTGGGGAAGCTAGGGCAAAAGTAAAAGTGCATTATTTATTTAATCTTCAAGTTCATTGATTCAATCTGAAAGAGAAGAGTTGTTTTCTCCTTCGTAGATAGGTCTACAACTGACCACAAATTAAGAAATAGGATTAGAAAAGTTTCCATTTATAGAAATTGCAAAAAAGCAATGTGTAGACTTTTTGCTTTCCTCATTGGAAAGTTAAGATTACATCACAAGATTATTTAATATCTGCTCTAAGAATAACTATATTAATTGCCTTTTTTCAGTTTTAAATATCTGTCTTTTATAATTAAACACCAAATCCTAAAATTAATTTTTTGAAAGGATTTCTCCATCATCTCTCTGCATTTCTCAAACTGAGGTAACCGTATTTTGCTAAAATGTACATTTGCCATGTGAATATAACCTTCTTTCATGTCTACAGTATTGAGAATAAAGAATAATAAATAATCTTTTAGAACATCCAGATTATATCTTCATGCAGTTTAGAAAGACAAAATCTTTTCTCTGATGACTCTAACAATATCATACTAAGGAGATTCATCAGCTTAGTTAGCAATCTGAAAGGTTTCCAAAGTAGCCAAGATTTTGCAAGTTCCATTTTCTGAAAACTATCACAACAGAGACATGCTGTAATCAATATACTTTGCAAAATTGTTACATATCTGTGACTGGTTATTGTTGAGTACATAGTGTCTTTAAAAAAACAGGTTTTTTTGCACTCATAAAGAAAATACTAACCATAGTTTTGGCATCCCAATTATTTTAGGGGTAATTTGAAATAAATAAAAAGCCCTGGTCAGCTACAAAATGCATTAGTTGCCACTTACACATCAATAGGTACTGTAGTAGCCTAGCATCTCTCCAATTATTGGCTAAAACAGATCAATCACTCAATATGTATTTGATCAATGACCAACAAAACTTAAAAGAACAAAAACAAAAATAGAGTGAACTAAATAAATACAAAATATACTAACAGCTAGCAAAATAAAGAAGATCAGCTACTACTCTGAACAAATTTTAAGATATAAATGCAAAAACAAGTTGGTAAGTGATATATAATATTCTCAAAGGCTAAATGTAAAAGAATGGGTTACTCACCTTGAAGTCTTAGTCTAGCTGTATCCAGAGGAAAAAACACTGTCATTGCTGTCACACTACCCTAAAACATTTAGCACAAAAAATTAACTATATAGAGCATGCAGATTTTTTTGTAAATCTACAATGACCTATATTAAATCAAATAAGTTTATTGCAGCCGTTTGAGCAGATAAAGTAAAATATCCTATAGAACTATTACATCCATCTATGTGTGTATCAGGAAAACGACTAAGATAGGATCTAAAAATATATAATAAAATAAAAACATTGCTATAAAAGTGATAAATAAGTGACCAGACTTAATTAATGGTGTGGCAAATTGTGCAGGAAATAGCACAAAACTGGGCAACACAGGAGGATATTTTTAAATCCTTGCCTAAAAAAAAGCTACATCAAACCTTATGAAATATGGCAGTGAAAAAGCTTCCTCTATATAAATTCACTTTCAACTTAAACAGAACTTTATGGTTATGACCATTGCTGTCAAAATATTTATTTTAAAAAAAATTCCATACAACTGCCCATTAAAAATGTGGTTCACAATAAATTAAAGTTCAGTTTGATACTATATGTGTTCGAAACAGAGATTTTGTGCATATTCCAAGAACACTGAAATAATTTAATAGTGGTATTTATATTTTATTTACAACTTGCCATAGTAAAGTTTTGATAAAATATTTGTGTGAAGCACAATATTGATATATTATACACAATCTATCCCTGAGGCATTCTATCTAATGTTATAACATTAATTTTTATTATAATTATCAAAGAAGAAAAGGAGGAATTAATACAAAAATATAAATTGCATTCCTAATATATAGAACAACTATATAGTTTTTGACTCATTTGTTTAATCAAATCTATTTAGTTTTAGAATTGTGTGGCAAAGATCACATTTAGATAATATTTGAAAACTATTAGTTCTTAGTTATGCAAAAATATTGAAAATAAAAAAGATAAATAAAAAAAGATTCACAAACTTTTAAGATTCACAAACTTCCACACAAACAACTAGATATGGTCTAATTTCTTATTTGATTATCAAAATTATTCCGACATGTAAGAACTGTGAAACTTATTTAGCAATCTGATAATCTTTAAATCCATGAGCCAGAAGACAATGAGCACATGAAATAATTTTCTCATTCTTGTTCCACCTATGCAGGTCTAAACAAGTTATAACAGAATTCACATGTAAATCAGTCTTGAACTATTATTTGTTAACTGCTTTCCTGGACTGCACAATTACCCTCATATATACAGATATAAAATGCAAGACCATCTATTTGTATAATTGTATAATCTAATTCCTGTGTATGGAAGAAGAGTCTTACAACAGTCAATGCAAGCCTCTTCTTTCCTTCTTTTTATCCAGTAATACCCTCCCACACCTTTAAGACAGCATGAATAGCTGAGGCACACCTGTGCTCCAAGAGAAAGATGTCTTCAGTATTTAGATATGGGTGTATACTGTATTTTGAGATGGGCAATAGCAATTATTTGGGACAACCAGAAGAAATTAAGGTTGCAAGTGAAAGAGGAGGAAATGCCAGACAAAGAGGGGTAAATGTCAGTGTGGGAGAAGGATGTGTGGAATTCAGACTCAAAAGTAAAAACACAGACAAGTAACAGCCATCCAACAGCTGATAAGGAACTTTTCCCTTCCTAGCAAAAAAATATATAAGATGCTTAAGGCCCATAAGAGATAAGGATAGCAGCAATTGGTACTTGGCTGAAAATAATGACTCCTAAACCAGCTAATTTCAATGTACCTAAAGATTGGTTAAGAGGTGGCTATAATTGCAACTAAGGAATTTGCCCATAGTCTCTACAGCTGAGAGAGCAGCCCAAAATATAGCTAACTACTGCAATATCTTTTCACAGATATAAGTAATTCAAATCTGTCTGTAAAGGTGAAGGGGGGGAGAGAACAAAGATTTTATGAATATTCATAGAAGCCATATGTAAAAATCCTTAGAAGTAACACAGAATATGTAAAATAGGCTTGTAGGTAAAAAAATAAGGATCATACATTCCGTTTAAGGATCACTGTGTATTGGTATAATAAAAAAATCCCTTGTAACAAAGGGAAGAAAACTTTTGGATGTAGCATTTACCAAAAAGAACTCATCATAGTGGATGACATATGAAAATGACAGCATGCTTTATTTAGAGTTCTGAACTTACTCTAGTAGAAGAGATAGGGTGAGTACTCTACCCGATTATGTTTTTAATCTGGACCACTGATACTAAAGAGATGTACCATCTATGTTGATTCTTGGATTGTATACATGTTTTACTACAATGATCCAGTTATTAACACAGTCATAAACAACTATAACCCATTTGATCTGCAAACTTTTTGCAGTTTCTGATTGTTGTATTAGTGATATATTAATATATTTAATAAAAATAATATTAAAATACTTTTAACAGGCATGTTGATGAAGTGTATTAAACAAGCAACCCTAGAAGCTATTATGAGAAAACACTAATAGACTTATATACATTGGCAATCCTGACAAGATTCTGGATCCTAGTCCACTGATAAACAGATTTGCAATTAGGCGAAAACAGACAAGCAAGTGGACATTTAATTCAATGTATCGTACAATTAACAAGGTTATTTTTTATTTATGTATTTGTTTGTTTGTATCTTGCCTTATTAGTTTTACAAATAACTCAAGGCAGAAAACAAAGTATATCTTGAAAGCATCAGTCTTCCTTTAAAGATTGCAATAAACTTTTGCATATCATTTAAAGCTGAAGTCATTTTTTATGAAACCATCCAGAACGAAAAATGTAATCTTTTCTTCTGCAGCAGTGATTGTATTGATAACCTATGCTCTTCAAGCTCCTGGGCAAACGGAGCGTAACAGGAAGTTACAAATAAGCAAATAACAAATATTTAGGATGACAGTTCAGACTAACAGGCACCCGCAGAGACAAAAGTTGGGAGGAGAGCTCGACTTCAAAAGCTAACAGCAGTTTGTTTTTTTTAGCGGCTACCCAATGCACCGAAGGCAGGGAGAACAGGTCCCCTCCATCTCCGTGCCTTCCTTTAATCCAGCCAAATCCTGTCCCTTCACTTCCGGATCTTCCACACACCCGCTCCCTCCGAAGCCTACTCACCACAGCTCCAGCCATGGCATGGACCAAGCTCTCGTAGGAGAAGACGCCGACCATAGCTGCACCTTTGGCAGGGCCCGATTGCCGCTGGTGCGATCTCCCCCGTCTGCCTGAAAGAGAGCACAGAAATGGAGAGGCTAGAGAGGGAAGCAACGTATCGCCGGCACCACCCCCCGGCCAAGCCGCTGCCGTCCTACGTGACGTCTCCTGCACACCGCCAATCACTTACGCGGATCGGGAAAGATGTCCGAGAGGAAGAAAGGCTGTCCGAGCTCGCACCCCGCTTATCCCGCTCACCCTACCCCCCCATTCCCCCCCTCGGCAGCAATTTGACCTCAAGATGTTCTCATAGCGACGGTTTAGCCGTGCTTTCGTTTCTCTGTCAAACGTTGCTTTTTGAGAGTTCTGTCAAACTAGCGGATGCTCAAAGCAAAATAAAAGAGCTTTCTCGGAAGTGGTGGGTGCTTCTTCATCATTGGAAGTTTTCAAGAAGAGACTGGACAGCCATCTGTCAGAAATATAGGGTCTCTTGCTTGAGCACGGGGTTGGACTAGATGACCTAGTTAGTACAAGGTCCCTTCCAACTCTGTTGTTCTATTCCTCTTATGGCCTTGCTATTTGAGGGATAGGTACCCATCTGACAATTGCAAATGGGTGGTCATTAGCAAAGAGAAGACTAACCCATGAAGGCAGGTCAAAATTGTGGCCAAGAAGGGTATATTTCATGTGGAATTTAAGGACAAAAAAAGGAAGCATTGAAAAGGCTACTTTAAAATCAAATCTGTGGTGAACAAAATAAGCGGGGAGGGTGAAACCTGGCTCAAAATCAGTAACTGTGAGAGGGACCTTGGAGTCCTAGTGGGCGATCACTTCAACATGAGTCAGCAGTGTGCGACAGCAGCCAAAAAAGCGAATGCAATCCTTGGTTGTATAAACAGGCATAGAATCAAAATCACATGATGTATTAGTATCGGTTTATAAAGCCTTAGTAAGGCCACACCTGGAATACTACATCCACTTTTAGTCCCATTACAAAAAAGATGTTGAGACTTTGGATGATTCGCAACTAATCATCTTAGTTGCGAAGAACAGCAACTAAGATGCTCTGGAGACTAAAACATGAAGAATGGTTGCAGGATTTGGGTTTGGCTAGTCTAGAGAAAAGGACCTGGGAGGGACATCATAGCAGTATTCCAGTATTTGAGAGGCTGCCACAAAGAGGAGGGGGTCAATTTATTTTCCAAAACACCAGAGAGGACAAACAATGGATGGAAACTAAGCAAGGAGAGAAGCAACCTGTAATTAAGATAACTTCCTAACAGTGAGGACAATTAACCAGTAGAACATCTTGCCTTCAGAAGTTGTGGGTGCTTCATCACTGGGTTTTTAAGAAGAGACTGGACAGTCACTTGTCTGAAATGGTATAGGATCTCCTGCAAGCAGGGAGCTGGACTAGAATACCTCCAAGGTCCCTTCCAGCTCTACTCTGATTGGGGGAAATATCTTTGGAATGTCATTCAACGCTACTACTAGCTTTATATCAAACACAATATGAAGTGCTGGTAAAGATTTTCCTTAAGCCAATATTCCTTAAAGCATAGTCCAAGGGTTCCTGAAGGTTCATCAAGATTCTCTCAGATCCAAAAATCAAAATTATTTGCCATATACAGAAGATATTTTCAAAAATTTTAAATGTCACTCTTAACTTCATTTTTTTTAACTATGGGTTTTTCATTAAAAATATTTTGTGTTAGAATCTAATGGGTTTGATATTTATTGTTACATGATTCAAATATTCCACAAATGCGTAGATTTAAGAATCATTGCTGTAAGCAAAGTTCTGGTAGCATCCTTTGCACTAATTTTATATTTTGCCTATTATGTGACTGCACAAGGGCAACACATAAAATTAGGCAGAGACTCAATAGCCAATAAAATGTCTAATCCTGACAATGATTTATGAAACTTTTTCAATCTATCATTTATTATAGCAATAAATCTAGTACTCAATATAAATAAAACATGGAAGGAAGGAAGGATGGATGGATATTAATACAATCCTTGGTTAAGGAACTAGGATTGAAACAAGGAGATTCTAGGTGATTTGGGACCAAATTTTCTTTCTCGCCCCAACTCCTTCTCATGGTTGTAATTTGGGGGAAAAGGGAGTAAGGAAGAGTATTAGAGATTTTCACTGCCTTGAGTTATTTATAAAATAATAAAGGCTGATAAAAAAGTAAAAAGCCAACACAAAAAAGTATGGCATATAATATGGAAGTATAAAGCTGAGCAACCCTAGAAGTGATGAGACAGGATGAGACAGGAGAAATGACAAATGGAAATCCAATTCTCTTCTAGGGAATTTCTTTAGGATAGGAAGTATGAAAATCATCTGGGATTTTCTGAACAGATGGGAAAAAGCATATGGCTCAGATGCTACTGAGTCATCCCCACAAGGTATTATGCTTTAATGAGAAGAGGTATTTTTCTAGTGCTCCAATGGAATAGTAAAGGACAATAATCCAGTTTGATCAAAGTGAAACCCGACTTAAAATCATTTAAAATTTATATCTCAGAATCCACTGCTTAAAAACACTTCTGGCATTTTCAGAACTGTTCAATGCAAATCCTAGGGATAGAGCTCGCCAACTTTTTTTTTAGCCAGGTTGACTTAAAATGTTTTCTAAGAAGCTTTTTCTGGGGAACTAAAATTAACTTTAGCCAAACGTTTTAAAGGCTGTGAAGCATTCAGGGACCAAACCTTTTTCAAAACTTGGAAAAGCATTCTTAATACATGTTGGCATTATTCTAATAAACTTAAGATCAGACATCTTAAATAATTTCAAACTTTGTAGACATACATACTTGAACACCACAGAGAAGATGAGAAATGCTCTTGGCTATAAAGGCTTTGCAAGAACTGCATCTAAAAGCCCTGGGACCACTCAACCTAATACATGAGTGGGGAGATATGTAGAAAGCAGGAGTGCCTGAAATACTGTGTAAATATACAAATTAAAAAGTAGGGAGGCATACAGCTGTCAATATTCTGACTATTGAACCCACCAGAAGTTGACTCTGGAATTTCAAAATTCCAAAAGTAAAACTTTATTGAATACATCATTCTGGCACTGAAGGTTCAAAATCAGCTAATTTTTCCCACACAAGTTTGCATACTTAAAGAATAGCATTCTCCCTTCCTCCCATGGAACAGGTCACGTTGTCCAATTATGAATCATTCTTCTGCTTTTAGTCCAACACCTGCAGAAGTGTCCTTGCTGGATACTTGACTCTCATGGTTGATGTCTGAAGCCCCTGCATTCTATCTCACCCCCTCCTTCCGCCCAGTTCTTTGGCAAGTTGGAAAGTGGTAAGATTCAAAAAAAGCATAACCACCTTCAATCTTGACAACAACCTTGCCTTATCCTTAAGGCATAATAGCTGGAGGATGCAGTGACAGCTGCAGAAATGGTTCAGGGAAAATAAGCACAGACAATTCACTTTTCACGCAAAAGAAGAATGGGATGGCAGAGAATGAGGTGGCTGGATGGAGTCACTGAAGCAGTAGGTGTAAGCTTCAATGTACTCCAGAGGATGGTAGAGGACAGGAAGGCCTGGAGGAGCATTCTCCATGGGGTCGCGATGGGTCGGACATGACTTCGCAATTAACAACAAATTTACTTTTTGAACAGTGGATTTTTTTTGTTGAAATTTTGAGTTTTACAATAGGGAAAGAGAAATAACCTTTTGTATATTGATGGTCCTATTCATTTATCCCACAGCCTCTCCCTTGGGATTAAAAGGAAGTCTTGGAAATTTGGAATCAACGAGGACTGTGAAAATATAAAGTCTGGACTAGGAAGCATATTCCTTGGTTCAGCAGTGAAGGACCAGAAAGTGGTCCAGAGCTTAGTCACTTCTAAAATGTTCCTGTTGGCTCAGCAAAAATGTTTTTACTTTTGATCCAACTGCATCAATTGAATTTAACTGTATGTATACAGCAAGCTGATGCATCTATATCCCAGATGCTTTTTTTTCAGGAGGCAATTGGACTTTTTTTTCTTTGAGGACATTTCGCTTCTCATCCAAGAAGCTTCTGCAGCTCTAACGGGATAGAGGGAAGGATTTATATTCCTTGCAGACAGCTGATCATTTGTATCCTTTTAGAGGGTCATTGAAGTACATGGAGGTTTATTTGTGTCCTCAGGTCACCTGAGCAGTGCTCCTGGTTCCTTTAGTCCGCAATTCCCACCCACCCCCTGGAAATCCAATGAAAATCCAGAATGGATTTCCAGAAGGGGAAAAAATTGCAGACTACGGAAACCAGGTGTTACACCATCAATCCATAGTGAAAAAATGCTGAACTGATAATAGGGGCAAGCAAGATAGCCAGACTGTTTTATTCATCCATACTAGATATACACTCGATATGCTCATTCATTTTAAAATTAGTAATTTATAAAATTCTTGTTTTTTCCTATTGTCTTTAATATAACTTTAGTAACTACATTTTTTGGGTTGTGCAAGATTTGTATAATATTATGATAGTGTTTGTGTGCTTAAATATATTTCTCAATCTGTGTACAAATATAAGATCTGGGGTAGATTTTGTAAAACAGTTAAATCTCTTAACACGTACGTTTTTGGGTTGCCTTAGACTCAAACCAGTTTTTCAGGAATTACCTGCTTTTAATAATATAAGTACAAGCCAAGGCTGCAACACTGGAATTTTCACAAACAATAGCAGGCAAGACCTACTAATGTTAAGCAGCATCAACTAAGTTACATCTATTTCTTATACAGGTAGTTCTTGACCATTCATTTAATGACCTAAGTTACAATAGCCCTGAAAAAAGTGACATGTCCAATTCCCACACTCATGATAGTTATAGGATCTCCATAGTGAACATAATCAAACCTTGGATACTTGGCAACTGGCATGTATTTACAATGGTTAGTGTGTCCCAGGATCCTGAGACTGTCATCTGCAACCTTCTGAGCTTCTGACAAGCAAAGTCAATGAAGGAAAGCCAGATTTGCTGAATGACATTATTCACTTAACTGTAGTGATTCACTTAACAAATATGTCAAAAAGGTCATAAAATGGGGCAAGCCTCATAAGTGCCTTGCTTAGCAACAGAAATTTTGGTTTAATTGCAG